AAAAATCAAACCAATCCATCATCAGTAAACCGAATTACAAACAATCCGAAACGTTATATCAGGAGCATAAGCTCGATAATTTATTTCGTAGCACAACGCAGCAACAGTAGTGCGCACGTACTATGTATAAGTATATTTAATAATAATCGACACCGCATTGTGTTACGCGTTCGACGTGCGGCGGTGACGAAGATGTATACCCGATGTATACAAAATGTATTTTACACACGTATTTGGAATAATAATACCATTAACGACGTTAAAACAATCGTATGTACGTATGGTATTATTTTATGCGGTGCGCCGTGTATATTTTTCTTATTACTTTTTACGTTTTCAATCGAAACGTACGCGCACACACAAACTCCGCCGCCGTCGCCTGTACCGACACCGCCGCGTTATATTCGGTTACACACCCGATTACAAATCATCCGTGAAACGAAAACGACAATCGGGACCGGTCTTCAAACCGGACGAAAAAAAATCTTAAAATTAAAAAAAATAAAATAAACGCGTATATAATACTTAAATTACTGTACACAATTGTATGTATAATACATGTTTATACCTGCACACATGCGTTCACTGTCATATCTCGAGTGTATGTGTGTGTGTGTGTTTGTGTGTTTTGTTTCTCGCCCTTCACCGGCACGATAGTAATATTACACACATACACACACACGCGCGCAATGTTCTTTGTGAGGAAAAGCCGACACCGGTGTTACACGTGGTTTTACAAGTTTATCATTTTTACACCTTTCACGCACATCGCGGCCGACCGCCTCCGCCGCTGTCCGTTCGCATTTTCCGCCGGTGAACCGACGACGATCTATAGATTTTTCGAAAAGTGTATAAATATTATATTCCGTGCGCGCTGCAACACCGTCTCGTGCAGGGTTACTCAAACGGACGGGAAAAGGGGATTAACGCACGTAATAATATATAGCGGTGGCACATCAAAAAAAAAAAAAAAAAAAAAGGGTTAAACGCGCGCGCCGACACCGATTTAACACGGTCCGGTTCGGAAAATATCCTACCTGCGATAAATTTAATATTATATGTTGTACTCAAACGGCGACCGCGGCTTCGTTTCTATAGCGCTATTGCCGCGTCCTTTTTATTTATTCATTTTTTTCCCCCGATATTATTATTTTTTAATAGACGACCCTCTTTCATTTGCCCTCGTCCCCTTCCCCCCCAGCACTCGCTCGCGGTATTCGATTGCGGTTGGCCGGTAACCATATTATTATTTACACCTACTGCACCGACCTACTACCGCGTGCGGTTTGCGCGTTCTTTTTTTCTTATCCTTTCCGGCGGTCGTTGCCGAACGGATTCTAACCGTTTTCCCGCGTACTACCCGTATAACGGCATGGCAATTAGTGCGCGCGCCGTGTCATTACGACGGACGGGCGTGCGGCGGGCACGTAAAATATTGTCGTACTACGCCGAGTAAAACCGACCGTGAACAATTATCATTGTTATCGGTGTAATCGCGTCGGAAAAACGTTTTCTACAATACATTTATGTATTGCCGGGCACGAGTATGAAATAATACGTCGAAACGGTATTTCAAATGGTGTTACGATTGCCTCTACAAACCGCGTGCATTAGCATAGTTCTTATTTTCACGTCCGTGTAAAATAACGTTTACCACTGCTTCGTCGTAATAATCGTTTTGACGGCGCGCGGTAAACGCTGGCGACACTCGAATAGAACTCGGACACGATTAACACGTCGTTTCATAATGTACACGACAAACGCATTGTGTTCCGGGGGGGGGGGGGGGGGGGGGGGGGGGGGGGGGTTGATTGAAAGAATGGTAATCATACGCACATACGTTGTTACGGCGGAAATCGTTACGCGACAATACGACGACGCGTGTGTAGTGTATGGAAAAGAACAAATAAACATCAACTATGTAAAAATCGTTCATTTGCGTTGTGAAGGTCGAGAATCCATTTAAGGTTTCGGAACCGTACGGTAACTGTTGCAGGTTAACGTTTTGTAATTTACCGTTAAACGGATTGTTCGGTAAAAACGTCCGTTTTACCGACGTGGTTTCCGGTGTTCCTGTGTACACTAGTGGGGTCGTACGACTCCTATCGATTTCGGCTGTACAGTAACGCATGCTTTATTGTTCTGTTAGACTTTTTAAATGATTTTACGTCCCTGTCGTTCGTTTGCGGTGTACCAGCTTCTCGTATTCGCGACTGAACGCGTGTAGGCGTTGCGGACACTAAAATGGTAACAATCGAATTGTTAACCGACCATCGACCGAAACGAAAATCGTCCGGTTCGCCAAAAGCGTACATTTGTACAAGATTACGGGCGCAATAATAGATATTTGAACTGTACTTTTCGCCGAGGCGCACCCGAAGAATATGATATTTTTGTTGGGTAAACTCTATCCGGTGCAAAACAAATATAATGCTATCAGACAAACGAGCTAGTAAACCGTCCGTAAATAACGTTTCGTCCGCACTACCTTTCCGCAGTATGCTCGTACAGAAACAACTATCAATTTCAATGTGCTCTGAGTGAATCGATTTTTTCGACACGAAATGCAATTCTATCAACTCGGAGATTTAGCCGTCTTGCGTATTTTTTACCCCTCCCACTTTTTCGTTATAAATGTGTAGACGCGCTGTTTTGTTACAATCGTGTTTGAATTATCTGTAAACGTTGCAGTGGGAAACTGTATAAATTACGTTTTCGACGGGAGCTACAGCACCTAGAATAATGTAAACGTACACGGAAACCCGTCTCGGGGTCGCATCAGTTGTGTCGAATTCAATTAAAACTGCATAGGATTAGTCTTTAAAACAATGCGCATCAATATACACAATCAAATTAGCGTTATTGTTTGTGTGACACCAATCGAATTTACATAATATATAGGTAATGCTTATATGAATGTTTTTCGTATATAGTTACCCGCGCGTGTACTACGATTAAATTATTTGACTGTGTATATATATTGTAGGTCAGTGTTTTAATACCATATGAGCAAAAAAAAAAAAACTGACCAACCGCGTGCATAATGGCATTAATTTATCATGGTAATTATATAAAGACGATTGTGCGACGCGCTTACTCAACACAACGTTTTACAACAAATCGTTATAGGATACGATTTCATTTGTTTGTATAATATAGTGTAAAAGTCGCGGTAACCGTCAAAATAAAAATCTTGTCGTGGTGTGATGCAGCCGCAATCAGTTTTCTTATTGTAACGTATTATATATCGAATAATATATTATTATATAGCTTCAGGGCGAATCCGTCTATGAAGATACGTTTACGGTAATCGTCACGAACAATCATCTAAATTAATACATATTACTCGTATTCTATTTAATCGTGTCCGTTTTCGTTAAAAAAAAAAAAAAACCGACCTAAAGCTGACAGAATATTATACTAACTTCGGAGATAGTCGTACCATCTGCTCCTCACGTTTATAATCTAATATTATATATGGTGTGTTATATTATGCGCCGTCTTGTTGACACTCTTCGACGTACATCTAGAAATGTGTTGGTACTTGTATATGCATAAACGCGTTTTATCAAGGTATACCGCTAGATGCGCTGAGAGGGGTGGGAGGACAGTATTCTTTTGCGGCACCCGTTAAGTATACATATATGTATACGCGTCGTCTAATTTACATTTTTCTTTACACTCGTTTTTTCCGTTTTATACATATATGTATATATGCGAAAAAAGTGGGAGGAAATAAGATCATCTTGTCGGGTGATATAAGAGAGGGGGGGGGTGGAATTCAATAAAATCAACTGCATAATATAATGCAATGAAATTCGTGTGTCATTGTCGTTATAGATTTCCAGTGGAAAATAAACGGCCGACGAGACAGCAATTATGTAACCACAACAGTCGTAAAATGTACATAAATTTACATTAAAATCGAATTCTATTGCGCCTGTTTGAAAAAATATATAAATATAATAACAATATCATAATATATAATATTGTAATACATACATATATACGAGTTTATTATATGTTGTGGCGAAAATATTTTCGTTTCGCGATATTCCGATAATGACCATATCCCCATTGTCGTAAAAAAAAAAAAAAAACTAGATATATATGATAGAACAAAGATGTTGACACAGTGTTGCGGGTGCGGATAAAAAATAATATATATGTACGCAGCTGCGGTGGCGTATAAGAATCGGTTTATTTCCGTTCTGAAAAACTTAAACGAGTTTCAAAATATATTTCAAATCAAATTTATTCCACCGTCTCGTGACCCTAACTCACTGCAGGTTGACAATAATAAAAACTGAGTGGATTTAAAATAAAAAAAATAAATAAAAAAAAGGAAAAAATGTAAATCGAGTTTTAACGCCGTGACAAGTAGAGATGGCTCTAAATAAAAATCCATTAGTTTGGCGAGACGTTAATTGGATATTTCGCCTGAAGAATCGGAATCGTGATTAACGGAGACACTATATATATATATATATATATATATATACACGTGATCGCGCGCACATAGAATGGATGACAGAGAAAATTCGAGGAGTAGGTTAAAGCGGCGGGTGTGTAGTATAACTGCTGCTACTGGTCTCGAAGAGGGAAACGATGAGAGTTATTCAAATTCCATTAAACGAAGGGCGGTGCTTAATTGGAATTAATAAAAAGGATCGCCGTCGGCGGCGAGTAAAAAAAAAAAAATCTGCATAAGTTAAAAAACATTTACACCTCACCCCCGTCGTAAATCCGAGAACGTCCTCGGTAGTTATCCCTGATTTTTATCCCGCCCTCTTACTCACTCTCTCGCTCTCTCGAACTGTTGGAAAGTTGAAAAGCGTGAAATCGTCCTCCATGTTTTTTCCCATATATTATAGTCCTTTCACATTAAATCCGGCATCGTGAATCGATGCAGCGCAAAAACATGTCGAGTACCTAAACCTATCACAATGACCGCGGTAGATTACTTATATACTAACGTTCGCGTTTCAATCGTTTTCCAGGTACGGCATGGACCTAAATGGAGCCAGACGGAAAAACGCCACACGGGAGACCACCAGCACGCTGAAGGCTTGGCTCAACGAGCATAAGAAGAACCCGTACCCGACCAAAGGCGAGAAAATCATGTTGGCAATCATCACCAAGATGACGCTCACCCAGGTCAGCACGTGGTTCGCAAACGCCAGAAGGCGGTTGAAAAAGGAGAATAAAATGACTTGGGAGCCCAGGAACAGGGTCGAAGACGAGGACAACAACAACGAGGATGACCGCAAGAGCCCCGACCCAAAAGATCTCGGTGAGTACACATTCTCGATCTTAAAATTTATTTATAAATAGTATTTAATAAATTGTCAGTATTATCTGAGTATAAATTTGTACTCTGGCTGTTTTAACACTTGGCGCGTGTATGATTCGCTCGTGTTTTTATTCTACAATTTATAGTAACACACTTGCTTTTCCGAGTAGTACCTTAATATTAAAATACAATAATGTTTAATATGGTCGTTTACGTTATTTTTGTCGAACTTGATGAAAATCTGAACCGTTAGAAAGCGAGTAGGTACACTACTCACTGGGCAGATTTTTAACGTGTGATTATCAACACCGTTCCCTCCCAATTTAATTTTGTGATGCAACACCTATCAATATGTGCGCTTTGCTCTAGGTCCGTGTGCCTCTTAATGACGACACCGCCAACCGGAACGTATAAAATACAACTACGTAGTGTGCCCCACGATTAACGCACATTATTTGCGATCGTCGTACGATAGAAAACAATGAATCGACTTTCGGCTGGTGAATACGAAACAGTCGGTGCGCACGTTCGTTCGTTAATGTGTACGCGTTGCACACATGTTAAGTCATACGTTTCGCATTTTTTTTCCTATCCGTGTTAAAATACCGTTTGATTGATGAACGAAAAAAAATAAAAATAAACAATACGCGACGGTCTCTCTTGCACACGGCGGGGCCCCTTTCTCGTCGCGCACACACGTTAACGATTCGTGTACATTTTTTTTTTTTTTTTGCCAACTGGGTCTAAAAATAAATGCTTGTTGAATTATATTTCGTGCCGGTCGCACACGTTGTTGTGTGCGATATCCGAATCACGCGCCCCGTCGGTCCCGATGACCATTTCGAAGCGTCTCCGATCGAGCTTCCCCTTTTTATTTATTTAGTTTTTCGGCGGTCGTAAATTTCCGGAGCTAAGCACCGCGGTCACGTGCCCGTCGTAATGATAATAATAATAATAATAATGATATCCAAAGCCAATAACACGCTCCACGTAATATCTCGTTCGGTTTTCCATCGCGCGCGAGTATTAAAATAATATATATCGTACGTCTGCGCGCATTATGTGTTACAACAGTCGTACGACGATTACGATAATAATAATAACAAAAGTAATAATAATTGTATTATGCATGTGTTATTACGTGACACGTCGCCGAAAGGGCTCGCGCGTAGTTTTTTTTTTTTATTCTTTTCTCGCAGACGCTAACCTCGACACGCGGTCAAATTTTACGCGACTGCGTGTGCACGTGCGTGTACGCGCGGGGAGCGAGACAACGCGCGCAGGGTAACAGAACAAACAAATAAATTACACCGAATCGTTGACGGAAACGTCCTGGCTGCTGCACCAGGAACGCGCACGACGAATCCGTCCGACTAATTATAACGACCTCCTCACGTCGAAGCCGGAAACGTATTTACCATGAAAACGCAATAGATATACGTGTGTTATGTGTTATGTTATTACGTAGCCGTCAACGATCCGTAATCGAGACGTTGACAGGCGCATTAAACCTTTTCCGTGTTTTTTTTTTTTTTTCGTCCCCGTCAATTTTCGGCCGCTAAACAAACTGCGCGTGTGTACCGCACCGAATACGACATATTCATTTTTCGCTCTCGATCCTGAACGCGTCGACGGATTTCTCATCATGTTCTGTCGTGCACGCAGACGTCGTTTTTCCCGTCCACCGATTCGTTCGGTTCAATCACGTTCGGGCAACGCACAAAGACTCTCGTGTTTTTATTGCGCCTGTAAAAGAAAAATGATATCGAAACGACGATTGTTGTTTTATCGTTTTACGACGCCCGTAGCCGGGGTTTTTTTTTCTCCCCGAGCATTATTACAATATACCTGTATACGCAGTATACGCACACGCGGTTTGGTCGGTTTTCGTAATGATTTTTTATTTTTTCCCCGTTATAAACCGTGTTCAAAATAAACGGAAACAATAAAATCGCGTACCTACGAAAACCGCCCCGGGGTCGACCGTAAAAATCAGAAGTAATACTATGACGTGCGTGCCATAATAATTATACGGAACGATTTCCGCGATAAAAATACAAATCGAAAATGCCGATCGCGTTTATGACTGGTCCACGCGCGTCTTGCGCGTATTTTACAAAGTCATGATTACGTGTATGATAATAAGTATATAGGTACGAGCGGAGTGGTCTGTACAGGAGTCGCGGCATTATCGCTTTTACTATGGACATTATATTTACGTTGCATACCACGGTAACTATACGGGTACGCTGAGAGTTAATTAAGAACTAACTCGGTGCCCACGTTATTATTGCCCAATCGCGATCGTTATGAAAGTTTCAATGACGACGGTAAAGTCATCATTGCACATATTAAACGTAAAATAATTTTCTTGATTCCACGCCGTTCCCAGCGTTCTCTGTTACGTTACACAAAGGTCGACCCGGTCGATGATTAACGCCTATTGTGCAGTGTTATGTACGGCAAAAATAACGAGCTTAAATGGGCTTTGTAGTAACCTACACGCGCGTGCGCAACAGGTTAATTCACCGAAACACACGTTCAGCTGCGCTACACAATCTTAATTGATTCCATGCTCGGACAACACCTCGATGCTATACGCTCACGACGAATGCTTACGTGGTGTTTAATAACTAAATATGTCCGGTAGTCGAATGAGCACTATATGCACTCCGAGCAACAACACGTTAGACGTGTACGGGAACATGCGCAGACGTAACTTAACACCTGCACCGCACACTATAGGGTTACTACATCACCATTCTTATTACGTGCATAACTTCTCCGATTTCCCGTATTGTCTGCGGCAGCAGGTACGTTGATGAAAGTCGACCTAGGAGGAGGTTTTAAAACATTGATAATTTTATTGGGAGTAAACAGTGACAAACGAACTTATTGATGGATTGATGGAAATCGCTGTAATAACGTCTTCCGGTCTTCGCGCGTTATACGATTGGCCGTGTGTTATTTAGCCGCCCGCGTTGTGTCCGGTGAAAACCGTCCGTCGACTATACAACGATTTAATGAACGAATAAACGATTGCCCTGACCTTTTTGCCATTTTCTCCGTTTTGTGAACGTAATACTAATTATGACCGCGTCTTGCACTCGACTACAGCGAACCAACGTTTTATATTCGCCTCGTTTTGTTTTGTGTCCGCAGATTGTAAAGACTCGGGTACGGGTTCCAGCGAGGACGGCGACCGGCCGGGCGCTAACCACACGGGTAGCGAATGGAGCGAGTCGCGGGCCGACAGCGGACCGGACTCGCCGGAGCTGTTCGAACGGCCGCCGCCGCCGCACTTCCTGCACCACCCGCCGCCGTACCACCACGGCCACTACCCGGGAGCGCCGCACCACCCGCCGCCGTCACACCTCAACCACCACCTGCACCATCACCACCCGTCGGCGGCGGCCCCGGCGCACCACCGGTTCGCGTCCGTGTCGCCGCCGGTGACCGGCGGCATCGGCGTAGGCGGTGGCCTGCTGCCGCCGCAGAGCAGCGCGCCGAAACCGCGCATATGGTCGCTGGCCGATATGGCCAGCAAGGACTCGACCAACACCGCGACCACGACCACGGCCGCGGGCGACACGTCTGGCGCCGCCAACAGTAGTCCGCCTCCGCCGCCGCCGCAGCAGCAGAGGTCGCCGCACCACCAGAGGCATCAGACGTCGTCGCCGCCGCCACCGT